GCTTCATGAAAAATCATGATGACGCCTACTCTTTCTACTGAATAGGCTGCAAATTCAGCTTTCAAGCGTCCTTAAAAGATCTCATAAATTATGCAATCAAGATCATTTTGTCCTCTGAGTGGAGTATACATGAACTACCATGCCAGCAATTATTTTTTTAAAAAAAGCAGCACTGCAGCAAAGAATAAAATCAATTACATAAAGCTTATATTATCGGATTTGACATACAAAGTGGAGAAAGCAGGATCCCACTTCTTGTTGCGAATTAGGTTCAGGATGCAGACATTCTTCAATCCTCTTTCTACTGAATAGGCTGCAAATTCAGCTTTCAAGCGTCCTTAAAAGATCTCATAAATTATGCAATCAAGATCATTTTGTCCTCTGAGTGGAGTATACATGAACTACCATGCCAGCAATTATTTTTTTAAAAAAAGCAGCACTGCAGCAAAGAATAAAATCAATTACATAAAGCTTATATTATCGGATTTGACATACAAAGTGGAGAAAGCAGGATCCCACTTCTTGTTGCGAATTAGGTTCAGGATGCAGACATTCTTCAATCCTAGATAGGAAATTCTTGTGAACTTCTAGAATATCTTCAATATTTGAGAACAATGTCTGTAAGTAAGAAACCCAGAGTATAAATAAATCAATTCAAGATACAATAAAAAGGAAGTGAGAATAAATAAGAACTGACCTTAACCGTTTCCTCTGTTACGTTTTTATCAACCTTGGTAATAGCCCATTGCATTATTCTGTGAAGGAATGCCTGGATAGAGATAAAAGGAAAAAGAAAAAAATGATCAAGGCACTAAAAAGGTAGACATGGTAGCCCAGAACAGATAAATAAATAAATACATAAATAAATGATACAGTGATAAATTTTGACATGAATGAAAATGATACAAGGGTCAGCACTCTTCTGGATGTCAGCATCTTTGTGCAATGATCCAGCTATTTCTCATACATGTACACAAAATTAGCAAAGTTCTCACACAGAATCTCCAAACTATGAGCTTTCAAATGATTAAGTAATCTCACGGAATTATGTAAGAACTTGTAATTTCACAGAATTTCAGGATAACTAGGTCAGGTAAGTATCGCTCTGCTCATCCCTGGTCTATGAAATCACATAATATAGATGATATTTTAGTTTAAAAAGAAGAAATACATAATACATCCTCAAGCAAAAAAAAAGTTACTTGCAAATATCTAAAGTTATTACTGAGGATAATAGGATGGCATCCACTCACCATGATCAAACCCAGTTCAAAAACCCCTAATTCAATGCACAGCTGCTCAGTTCTTATTTCCAAATATTTTAAGCACAATATGGGAAAATCAAATCAAAAGAGACCACAAATAATGCATATATATCCTTAGGGAAAGCCAACAGATGTTGACACAATAGATGCATTTTAAATAGAGAGCAACAAGAGACTTATATATATTTAAGCATTATCTCTATTTGCATGTTTTTTACATAAAAAGATGAAAATATTTTTCACTTCAAAATGATAAACTAGAAAACATGCTTTCATAAATTTCTCTATAACTCTATAATTTCTTACAATGTGATCACAGAAAGTATTAATTTATAAATACTATCCTTAATTAAACATTTTACTTAATATTTCTGATATTGAATACATTTGGATGGGATAACATTTTTATTAATTTATAACCTGCTTTTATTTGTACAATTATTTATTTGTAATAATTCTCCTGCCTCTTATTTGCATGACTGCAAGGTGGGCTGGGCTGAGAGAGCAATTAGTCCAAAATCAACAGCCAGCTTTCATGTCTAAAGAACTAGAACTCATGATTTCCCTGTTTCTAGTCCAGCACCTTAACCACCAAACTTTATGGGGAAAGTGTTGACATTACAACAATTTCTTTGAGGATCCATCTGAAAATGTGATTTTGCTCTTCAAAATATTCAGATTTCTTCACAGCTCTGAACAACAGGCAACAACATAATTATATTATTTCTTATTCATATTATTTATTTTTCTGTCCAATTGCAACTATTATCAATTCTGAAAGACAATTAAAGATTGCATAAAAATCAAATTGCAACATTATTTTTATATCCCATTTCACAAGCCATAGCTATTGTTAGAAACTTGGCAGCCTTTGTAATAGTTATGTCTTGCAGAAGGAAGATTGTCATTTCTTAATGAGAAAGATGGCTACAATTTCTGGCAAACAGGTTTAGGAACGTCAGATGCCATGGGTGGTATAATGGGGAGTGTAACAAATGGATTACTGACTCTGTATCTGAGCAGAAACACATGAATGATGAATGGGAGATCAGTATACAGTATTTCTCTATAGTCTTCATAACAGGCAACTGCCAATTCGAACCAAGGTAAAAAGTCTCCTATGTGAAATATACAGTATGCAGAGCTAGATTTCAGCAAGGAGTTCAGTTCTATAATGAATGGATTAATCAAAGGATTTTCATCAGATCACACTTTATATTTTTCTTCAAATACACATACACAAATACCCATTTCAGAGCAACAGTCTGCATCTGATGAATTTTAACAATACCATGCTATTGCCTTCTAGGATTGTGACTTCCCAATCTATCCTACAGCCCCAGTATTTCCTGTTGATCTCCCATTGTTTGTAAGTACTGACCTGGTTGGCCTCTGATCAGTCAGGTTCAGGTAGGTGTTAGTCTTTGTACCCAAAGACCATTGTACATTATCTTACTGAATTGCACATTACATAACCTACCATAGTTCAGTCCTCAACTAGGGATTCCACAATAACTACACAGCTATTTTTTTGTCTACATGAAAGCCAAGAATAGCACCCAGCTCTTTCTTTTAATCTTTTTGATATGCATTAAGATACCATTTTGTGCGATGATCATCTTGCAGACCAGGGCAAAATTTGTCCAAGCACATAAAGTAACCTGTAAAATCTAATACATATGCCAGTTATTAACTACAAACAGCACAAGCATTTTTCTTCCCTGTTATTCTTGTGGTACAAGATAAAAAGGAAGCAAACATAGTTTTATGATTTAAAAAAAAAAAGAAAAAAAAAGTTAATGCTGGGATACTTACTACAGATTCTTCCCTCACAAAAAGTATGTTTAGAGACTGAATTACCTGAGAATATGCCTGGCCAAAAATAACAACAACCTGATAGGAGTTACATTTCTTCCCTGTTATTCTTGTGGTACAAGATAAAAAGGAAGCAAACATAGTTTTATGATTTAAAAAAAAAAAGAAAAAAAAAGTTAATGCTGGGATACTTACTACAGATTCTTCCCTCACAAAAAGTATGTTTAGAGACTGAATTACCTGAGAATATGCCTGGCCAAAAATAACAACAACCTGATAGGAGTTACAGCTAAGGACATCAATGGCTCAGGCATATTTCCTTTGAATCAAATGTATATTCAATGAGAATTGCCATCCTTAGCATAGTTTACTATCTGGACCTATACTATTAGCAGAAACACTTCAAGAAGTAGAGATATTTGCACCAGATTTCTGAAGTCAACTGAGAACTACACATGGTCTTGGAAAACACATAGCACAGCTCCAACAACAATATTTTTACTAAGATAAGGAGGTGCATGTGACCAGGGATGCACATGAAAATTGATAGGGAAAAAAAGGATAATGAAGCTTTTAGTGCACTGAAACATGCTTCCTGTATTTCTTGCATTACATCTACTTTAGTATTAATGGTAAGCGGCAAAAAAAATATTAGAAAGAAGGTGCATTTCTCCATTTTTGGCAATCATAAATAACAATAGCAATACACACATGGCTATAAAACATCTCCTTAGAGATATAAGGTATTTCCTTATACCAGATCAGATTAATTTTTCTTAGAGTCAGCATTGTCTAGTCTGACTTCAGAAGTTGTCATTTCAATTTGCCAAGGCTAGAGTTTTTTGCCCTTACATCAGCACAAGTACATCTAATTAACACAAGCATGTATAGATGTGGACTCAGCTTTCTGCTACAGCGAAACAACTCTTGTAAATAACCAAATGTTTTACATGTGACTACAAGCAATTTGTAGGTTGAAGCAATTAGTCCTTGTTCTTTTTCAAACAATTTTTCATCAGCAACAATCAACATTTTTTCTTGAAAGATTTAAAATTATTGCTAACTCTATTGATTTATTCTATTTTCCAAAATTCATTCAATTTTTTTTAAAGTCTTTTCATTAAATAAACGTTGACATTAGAATCTATCAATTTAATTAGAATCTACCAATTTAACTATAATAACTTTCTGTGGTGTCTACTTCTCAATAATAATTCAATTAATTTAAGAGGTCTTTAGGTTTTAGCAAAATTGTTCCTTATGTTTTCCCTAACACTCCTTCAACAATATAAATCACCACAAGTGCAGCACATTAACATTCCATCTGAAAATTCTGAAAATACTATTTTCTTGACCAATTTTTAAAAATGATTATACTTTAAAAAACTAACAATGCATATTTTAAAGTGTGTTAAAATGTGATATAACTTGATTTTTAAAAAAAAGGGGGGGAGGAAAGAGCCTGGAAAATCATATCACAAACAACACATTCAACTGAAATGCTCAAAAGTCCTTTCTTGGTCCTTATCATTAAAAACAAAAATCTAATTGAACAATTGTTGGCAAACATCGTATATTAGTAAACTAGTGCTGCAAATCAGATATAAATGCACTTTTCTATTGTTTTGGCCATAATTCATAAGCAAAAAGTCCATAATATTTGAGATCTTCATAGCATCCTTGATACACAAAACCAGATCTGTGGTTTTCAACTCCAAATGTTGCAGTAATAGGACAAGCCCAAGCCATGTAAGTTAATGTTCAAATACCTGGATTGCATTTCAAAGAGTAAAGCAATTATAAGTAACTTTTATTCAATGTTCTTTAAGATTTCCAATATACATAAAATAAATGTTCTGCTGTATTACCCTATTTTTAAGAGAGAAAAAAGCTTCTTTCATATTTTAAAGCAATGGTGATTAACAGAACCAACACCAACCAACTTCTTATTCCAAATGTCACCTAAGTAATTTATCTCAATTAATTACTTTAGTAGCTCTTTTTAAACTACAATTATCCCATAATGTATATTTTAGCAAGTAAAGAGATTCAAAATTTTCCCTTCAAACCTAGTATTTTTGAAACTGATTCAACTTACAGGTAGATACTTGTCTATGCTTAGAAAAGCCCCAATCCCTTATCATTCCATACTAGAATAAGGAATAGTTAATATTAGAAACAAAGAACAAAGATATATACCATATCCTTCTTGAGTAGCCAAGAAAACACTAACCCTAATTGATGCCAAGGAAAAAAGGAGAGTAAAGTAATGAAGGAAAGAAAAAACTATTTAAAAATATATATATTTCCAGGTCTTTAGTACTTAAGTGTATTACAAAATGTATCCAACACAAATGCCTAATTAGGAAACATAGATAATTGAGGTGGGAGTGCATTTTTGAGTTAGCCATAGCTATGGTAGCAAAACAACATGAAAAGATATCCAGATGCCATTAGGTAGCTTAGTAACAAAGCTGGCCAAAAATCTGATAAAATATTGAATACTCCTTTAATGTCATACTTTTTACTGTAGAAAATATCTTTCTACATTCTTGCACTTCTTTAATCTTGTCTATAAAGAATGTAATATAGTACATAATCACTAAAATAGGGTAACAAAATCTAGGATAACAAAAATCTGTATGACCACTAGAAGGCACCAAAGAATTAGTTTATTTGTTAGCCTTTG